CCAAAGAATGTGAAGGTAACCAGCCTAAATGACTACCGCCCCGTAGCACTCACGTCGGTAGCGATGAAGTGCTTTGAAAGGCTGGTCATGGCTCACATCAACACCATCATCCCGGAAATCCTAGACCCACTCCAATTTGCATTCCGCCCCAACAGATCCACAGATGACGCAATCTCAAATCACACTCCACACTGCCCTTTCCCACCTGGACAAAAGCAACACCTATGTGAGAATGCTGTTAATTGACTACAGCTCAGTGTTCAACACCATAGTGCGCACAAAGCTCATCACTAAGCTAAGGACCCTGGGACTAAACACCTCCCACTGCAACTGGATCCTAGACTTCCTGACGGGCCGCTCCCAGGTGGTAAGGGTAGGCAACAACACATCTGCCACGCTGATGCTCAACACCGGGGCCCCTCAGGGGGGCGTGCTTAGTCCCTTCCTGTACTCCCTGTTCACCCACGACTGCATGAGAAAAAACACGACTCCAATACCATCATTAAGTTTGCTGACGACACAACAGTGGTTGGCCTGATCACCGACAACGATGAGACAGCCAATAGGGAGGAGGTCAGAGACCTGGCAGTGCGGTGCCAGGACAACAACCTCTCCCTCAATGTGAGCAAGACAAAGAAGATGATCGTGGACTACAGGAAAAGGAGGGCCGAAAAGGCCCCCATTAACATCAACAGGGCTGTAGTGGAGCAGGTCGAGAGTTTCAAGTTCCTTGGTGTCCAAATCACCAACAAACTTTCATGGTCCATATACACCAAGACAGTCGTGAAGAGGGCACGACAACACCTTTTCCCCCTCAGGAGACTGAAAAGATGTGGCATGGATCCCCAGATCCTCAAAAGTTATACAGCTGCACCATCGAGAGCATCCTGACCGGTTACATCACCGCCTGGTATGACAACTGCTCGGCATCCGACCGTAAGGCGCTACAAAGGGTAGTGCGTTAGGCCCAATACATCACTGGGGCCAAGCTTCCTGCCATCCAGGACCTATATACTAGGAGGTGTCAGAGGAAGGCCCAAACAATTATCAAAGACTCCAGTCACCCAAGTCATAGACTGTTCTCTCTGCTACTGCACGGCAAGTGGTACCGGAGCACCAAGTCTAGGTCCAAAAGGCTCCTTAACAGCTTCTACCCCCAAGCTATAAGACTGCTGAACAATTAATAAAATGGCCACCTGGACTATTTACATTGACCCCCCCCCCCCCCCCCCCCCCCCCCTTTGTTTGTACACTGCTGCTACTCACTGTTTATTATCTATGCATTTTATTGTGTTACTTTTTTAATTTAATTTTTTACTTTATTTTGTTTAGTCAATATTTTCTTAACTCTATTTCTTGAACTGCATTGCTGGTTAAGGGCTTGTTAGTAAGCATTTCAAGGTAAGGTTGTATTCGGAGCCTGTGACAAATAAAATTTGATTTGATTTGAAGGAGTTCAAGTTGAGTAACATGTAGCCTCCACCCCGAAGACATGGTTGACCCCATGTCGTCTGTTTTAGAGGAACCTGTTTTGTCTCTCAGATCAGTCTAGTTTCCAGACAGCTCACAGATAACACTGGCATTATTCAGTGTTAGTGGTATAATGTGATGGGTACTCATTCCCCTCCTATTTCATTTAATTGGAATAATTTCTATCTTTCTACTTCCTCTTGAATTTTCCCAAACTAATAGAAACAAAAATTATTCAATTGAATTTGATTTAATAACGAAGCATTCTGACAGTAAAATAATAAATTGACACCGCGGCCAAGTTAATTGGTTCAATATTAGCATTTCAAGCAAATGGTGTTAAATTGTTCATTTAGGCAGAAAAAATAGCTGTCGAGTGTGCTGACAACAGGATGCTGGAGATTCCTCATTTTAAAAATCACGGCAACTCGGAGAATGTGGGTCGATCACTATTGTCGATTGCTTGAATTTGAGGCTGTCAAAGATTGCAATGGCATAGGCTATATTGTCTGCATCCAATCTGAATCGCCCTCATCGCTAGGCTATATAATGCATACATTTTTTAAACAAATAAAATCACTTTGGGACAAATGAAAAGAAACTTGTCATAGGCAAGTTCTATTGATCTTGTACAACATACATTCTTGGAAATAAGTCGTTTACTGATACTGTAAATTGCTTGCCATTGCCAGCCTACTATTGTTATTTTCGATGTGCACCAGCCAGTGTGTACAGTAGTGTGTACAGTGGCCTATTTCCGCTCCATAGACTATTTCTGCTAGTTGGTGATTTTGCGTAACCTGCAACTTCTTTAAGAGGCTCCTCTGTCCTCCACTCGTTACCTGTATTAATGGCACCTGTTTGAACTTGTTATCAGTATAAAAGACACCTGTCCACAACCTCAGTCACACTCCAAACTCCACAATGGCCAAGACCAAAGAGCTGTCAAAGGACACCAGAAACAAAATTGTAGACCTGCACCAGGCTGGGAAGACTGAATCTGCAATAGGTAAGCAGCTTGGTTTGAAGAAATCAACTGTGGGAGCAATTATTAGGAAATGGAAGACATACAAGACCACTGATAATCTCCCTCGATCTGGGGCTCCACGCAAGATCTCACCCCGTGGGGTCAAAATGATCACAAGAACAGTGAGCAAAAATCCCAGAACCACACGGGGGGACCTAGTGAATGACCTGCAGAGAGCTGGGACCAAAGTAACAAAGCCTACCATCAGTAACACACTACGCCGCCAGGGACTCAAATCCTGCAGTGCCAGATGTGTCCCCCTGCTTAAGCCAGTACATGTCCAGGCCCGTCTGAAGTTTGCTAGAGTGCATTTGGATGATCCAGAAGAGGATTGGGAGAATGTCATATGGTCAGATGAAACCAAAATATAACTTTTTGGTAAAAACTCAACTCGTCGTGTTTGGAGGACAAAGAATGCTGAGTTGCATCCAAAGAACACCATACCTACTGTGAAGCATGGGGGTGGAAACATCATGCTTTGGGGCTGTTTTTCTGCAAAGGGACCAGGACGACTGATCCGTGTAAAGGAAAGAATGAATGGGGCCATGTATCGTGAGATTTTGAGTGAAAACCTCCTTCCATCAGCAAGGGCATTGAAGATGAAACGTGGCTGGGTCTTTCAGCATGACAATGATCCCAAACACACCGCCCGGGCAACGAAGGAGTGGCTTCGTAAGAAGCATTTCAAGGTCCTGGAGTGGCCTAGCCAGTCTCCAGATCTCAACCCCATAGAAAATCTTTTTTTTTTTTTTTTTTTTTTACCTTTATTTAACCAGGTAAACCAGTTGAGAACAAGTTCTCATTTACAACTGCGACCTGGCCAAGATAAAGCAAAGCAGTGCGATAAAAACAACAACACAGAGTTACATATGGGGTAAAACAAAACAAAGTCAAAAAAATACAACAGAAATACATATACATATACAGTGTGTGCAAATTTAGCAAGTTATGGAGGTAGAATCCATAGAAAATCTTTGGAGGGAGTTGAAAGTCTGTGTTGCCCAGCGACAGCCCGAAAACATCACTGCTCTAGAGGAGATCTGCATGGAGGAATGGGCCAAAACACCAGCAACAGTGTGTGAAAACCTTGTGAAGACTTACAGAAAACGTTTGACCTGTGTCATTGCCAACAAAGGGTATATAACAAAGTATTGAGAAACTTTTGCTATTGACCAAATACTTATTTTCCACCATAATTTGCAAATAAATTCATTAAAAATCCTACAATGTGATTTTCTGGATTTTTTTCTTCTCATTTTGTCTGTCATAGTTGACGTGTACCTATGATGAAAATGACAGGCCTCTCTCATCTTTTTAAGTGGGAGAACTTGCACAATTGGTGGCTGACTAAATACTTTTTTCCCTGTATATAATTATACTGAAAAAAATATAAACGCAATATGTAAAGTGTTGGTTTCATGAGCTGAAATAAAAGATCTGAGAAATGTTCCATACGCACAAAAAGCTTATTTCTCTTAAATGTTGTGCACAAATTTGTTTAAATCCCTGTTAGTGAGCATTTTACTTGGGAAATAGGATGACCTTAAAACATGACCTTAAAACATGTAAGCATGTCAACCCACTGTTTTCCACTGTTTTCCACCACAGAACACCAGAAAATGGCCAAAAAGAGTACAACCAGCTCACCTGCTTTTACACTGATTTAACAATTAGATGTTCAATGTTTCTTTTGAAAACACTATATATCTTTTTAGTGTGAATAGTTTACCATATTAAAACCAGTTCAGTTCATGTAACAGGGTTGACCATAAAAGGGACAGGTTAAAAACATTAAAATGAATCACTAATCACATTAAATAAATAACAATCTTCAGAAATGACTGTGTCAAACAAGAAAATAACTAGGGCTTTACAATGATGGTGAAAACTAGGAGAAATGTTGGGGTGAAGTGGGTTAAAATCCTCCTAGAAGTCACAGATGGTGCACAAAGGGACATGTCAAAATGCTGAATTTTGGCACCTTAGCAAGTCAAATCAAATCAAATTGTATTGGTCGCATACACATACAGTATTTAGCAGATGTTATGGTGGGTGTAGTGAAATTCTTGTGTTCCTTGCTCCAGCAGTGTAGTAATCTTTATTCATATAAAAAAATCTGCTGAATTTTCCATGTGGTCTATATTTAATCTGTTATTTTTTTAGCCACCCTTCTTTCTCAGACACAGACAAATTGACAGTATACACATTTACACCCCTCACAAAGTACCACCCTTTTGTCACCCATCACATTTTTGATTGTACTGGGCCTTGAAAGATTTATTGGACACAATACATGTCTGCTAATTTGTTCTTTGTGTTCCCACTTTTCTATTCAATGAGTACTGGTGTTTACATTCCTCATATACAGTATCTCAAGCATTCTTAAATTGTTTGTTTTGCTTGGCTACATCAGACATGTAGAAGTTCATAGGTGTGAATGAGATGTTTCACGTGTTTCTGTGTGTGTGATTCTGACACCCTCTCCCTCCCTGCCTCTCCCAGGTTCCTGCGTCTGTGGATCGCGGTGTTGGTGATCTACCCCACCAACCAGGCTGTAATCGCCCTCACCTTCTCCAACTACGTCCTGCAGCCCCCCTTCCCCCCGTCTGTCTACGTGAGTCCCTCAGAGAACAGCATCAGGGGTCATTATTGCAATTATCTACCAGAAGATCTCCCATCATGTTACAGCCGTTGTTGACAATAAAGTTGTATTGTATTGTATTTTTTGTCATTTTTGTTCTCTCTTTCTCAGAATTACTCCCATATTACCAAATCTAGTATAGTGTTACTATAGGCCACGTGTGATGTGTTGTTGTATACATGTGATGTGTTGCTGTAAACATGATGTGTTGCTGAATGCTATGTTGTGAGATGTGACTCTCTTCCTCCCTTCCTCCCAGTGTTGCTGACGTGGGTGGACTGCTCCAGTGTGCGCTGGGCCACACGTGTTCAGGATGTCTTCACTACTGGGAAGCTGCTGGCCCTGGGCTTATCATCATTATGGGCTTTGTGCAGATCTGCAAAGGTAGGCTCTCCCTGTCCCTGTCTCTGTCTCACTCATTCATTTTGTGTATCTGTAACTGTTGATTTGTTTTATCACTCACTTCACATTTACATACTCTTTTCCCAGTCAAAACTGTTCGCTGCTCTGGCACCCCAATGGTGGAACAAGCTCCCTCATGACGCCAGGACAGCGGAGTCACTCACCACCTTCCGGAGACATTTGAAACCCCACCTCTTTAAGGAATACCTGGGATAGGATAAAGTAATCCTTCTACCCCCCCCCCCCCCATTGTAAAGTGGTTATCCCACTGGCTATAAGGTGAATGCACCTATTTGTAAGTCGCTCTGGATAAGAGCGTCTGCTAAATGACGTAAATGTAAATGTAAATGTATGTCGACTGGGCCCACTGACATACTTCACAGCCTTAATCTTTGTCTCCCCCTGCTGGACAAAGTGTATCTGAGGCCACTACTAAGACTGAGCAGCTAGTCTGCTCTGTTATTCACCCAGAAAATTTGAAACACTCAGTAGTAATCACAAGATGTGAGAGGGGAAATATGGCTAAAGAAATGTAAAGTAGTGCCAGAACGCCACAATACTGTTAACTCCTGCTTTCCGCGGGATTGCATTATCCCGATGTGAGAGAGGGGATTAAAGTCCACATACCTCTTCATCCCACTCATAATCCCTGACCACGCTCCATACATCCGGCCAAACCTAACACACACACACACACACTCATATGATTCCACCACCCACCCACTCTGTGTTGTGTTTTGTGTGTCTACCCAGGAAAGTATAACTGGCTGGAGCCGGCGCATGCGTTCGAGACGTTCCAGTCCTACGACAATGGCCAGATAGCCCTGTCCTTCCTGCAGGGCTCCTTTGCCTACAGGGGGATGGAACTTCCTCAACTATGTCACAGAGGAGCTTGTCGACACCTAAAGGTGAGTTAGACCCCCAACTTCACCGAAATCAATGTGACAAATTGCACACTGTCTCAACAGTGTAGCATCACATGCACACCCAATCCTTCCAGTCTCATGTCTGGTTATCCTAGTCAACCATGATTTCTACCTATAACTCTGTATTACAGTTGAGACTGTGTCCTGTTAGGCCTGTGTTATCAAATCTGATAGTACAGTAGTTCACACAGACACCACCACCAGAACCCCAGATCTTAAACCCTGTTCTCTCTGTTTGACAGGAACCTTCCTTGGGCCATCTTCATCTCCATCCCCCTGGTGACGTTCGTCTACGTGTTCGCCAACATCGCCTACGTCACCGCCATGAGTCCTCAGGAGCTGCTGGCCTCCAACGCCGTCGCCGTGGTGCGAAGCTCCGCCCCTGTATAGCTGTTGGGAATGGTTGCTGTTGAGAATGATCATGCAGCTTGGTCTGATGCCTGCTCATCTGTGGCTCTGTCTGCCTTCGGGGGGGGGGGGGGGGGGTCAATGGCTCCCTCTTCACCTCGTCGCGGTCAGTCCATCCTTCTTGCTCTCTCTGTCCGTCGTCTTTTTGTGTGCTGCTCTCACACTGTCTGTAATTAACATTCCCCATACTTGCCTCCTGTCTGTAGTGCGTCTTTCATACATGTGTTATGGGAATACCTGACCCAATCTTTTCTCAATTTCTGTATTTTCATCTCTCCGTGCCTCTATATCTATTATTAACCAGGTTTCCATCCAACCTTTTTATCTACAGTTGAAGTCGGAAGTTTACATACACTTAGGTTGGAGTCATTAAAACTCGTTTTTCAACCACTCCACAAATGTCTTGTTAACAAACTATAGTTTTGGCAAGTCGGTTAGGACAACTACTTTGTGCATGACACAAGTAACTTTTCCAACAATTGTTTACAGACAGATTATTTCACTTATAATTCACTGTATCACAATTCCAGTGGTCAGAAGTTTACATACACTAAGTTGACTGTGCCTTTAAACAGCTTGGAAAATTCCAGAAAATTATGTCATGGCTTTAGAAGCTTCTGATAGGCTAATTGACATAATTTGAGTCAATTGGAGGTGTACCTGTGGATGTATTTCAAGGCCTACCTTCAAACTCAGTGCCTCTTTGCTTGACATCATGGGAAAATCAAAAGAAATCAGCCAAGACCTCAGAAAAAAAATTGCTACTAATTGAGTGTATGTAAACTTCTGACCCACTGGGAATGTGATGAAAGACATAAAAGCTGAAATAAATCATTCTCTCTACTATTATTCTGACATTTCACATTCTTAAAATAAAGTGGTGATCCTAACTGACCTAAGACAGGGAATTTTTACTAGGATTAAATGTCAGGAATAGTGAAAAATTGAGTTTAAATGTATTTGGCTAAGGTGTATGTAAACTTTCGACTTCAACTGTATGTTGCGAGTGGATGGATGTCACGACAGGCCTGATGAAAACGGAAAATTTGTCTGTAAACTTTCCAAACGTTGACTAAACAAATTACGCTAGACAAGGTGGGATCTTTTTGTGTCTGTAAAATGTATTATGTGAGAAATGGCTGTGGAAATGCCTTTATGAGAAAATATTGATATAATAACCATCCTATCTAAGTAAACTTCAACATGATATGTTGTGTGGTCCTTCCACTACGACTCAGGAAAGCATGCAGTTTATTAGGCTACAGATGAAATAAGTTATAATGAACTTCACAGGGAGGTGAATGTGCACAGTGATCTTGATGCTTCTTTCCAATAAATATCGAGGGTCTTATTCTGGTGACATGATGATCGATGCTGCCGTTTGACAAATACAAATAATCTCACTCTTTTGTCCATAATAATCACATTTTGTAGGTAACCTACCTGCACTGTATCTGCAAGCTGTTGGCTAGAGCGCACGTGCCAAGACCAGAGCGGGGACATTCGCTATATAACACATTTTTATTTGTGACAAAACCATCAGTAGAGTTGAAAATGCGATGGAAACCCATTTAACTTGTCCTTTTTATTCGGTACATGGGAATTTAACAGCACAAGTTAATTTGATGTGCTCTATGTCATCACGCACAGACCTTTATCCGCATCAAGTCAGTTTGATGGAAACATCTCTGATGGGAAAATGTGAATATTATTACCCCCTTTTTCCTCCCCAATTTCGATCTTGTCTCATCGCTGCAACTCCCCAACGGGCTCGGGAGGCGAAGGTCGAGTCATGCGTCCTCCGAAACATCACCCGCCAAACCACGCTTCTTAACACCCGCCCGCTTAACCCGGAAGCCAGCCGCACCAATGTGTCGGAGGAAACACCATTCAACTGACGACTGAGGTCAGCCTGCAGGCGCCCAGCCCACCACAAGGAGTCGCTAGAGTGCGATGAGCCAAGTAAAGCCCCCCTGGCCAAACCCTCCCCTAACCCAGGCGACACTTGGCCAATTGTGCGCCGCCCTATGGGACTCCCGATCACGGCAGGTTGTGATACAGCCCAGGAACGAACCTGGGTCTGTAGTGACGCCTCTAGCACTGCGATGCAGCGCCTTAGACTGCTGCGACACTCGGGAGGCCCCATGCATATTAATTTTATGCAGATTTTTGAATATTTGCATGACAATCTGTCGCCAATTGAATGGAAACCTACTGCCTTGCTTTAATGTCCAATTTGTCATCACCTGTGTTGTACAGTATATTGTATCAACGTACTGTTTCCTCATTCATTGTGTGCCCAAAAGCATCAAAACAAGAACTGTTTTTCCAATTTCTCAGTGCTGACTTTGTGTTAATGTTGTTCTTCACACTCTCTCTCATTCAGGCTGGAGCGAGGGAAGGCCATCTCCCCCGACTCCTGGCCATGATTCATGTGAAACGCTGCACCCCCGATACCAGCCATTCTATTCACTGTGAGTCCTACTTACTCTACCTGACAACAACGCATCGCTCTTCCTCAGTCTCTCACACATACTTACACACCTACAAACATATGATACCAGTTCACGCTGTGCCTCTCTTTCTATGTACTCTGATCTCTCAAGGGTATACTTTTAATTATTTTCAGTGTATATCCACCATACTGATGCTGTGTCCCAGTGACATGTATACCCTTATTAACTACAGTGGGGAGAACAAGTATTTGATACACTGCCGATTTTGCAGGTTTTCCTACTTACAAAGCATGTAGAGGTCTGTAATTTTTATCATAGGTACACTTCAACTGTGAGAGACAGAATCTACAATCCAGAAAATCACATTGTATGATTTTTAAGTAATTCATTGTCATTTTATTGCATGACATAAGTATTTGATACATCAGAAAAGCAGAACTTAATATTTGGTACAGAAACCTTTGTTTGCAATTACAGAGATCATACGTTTCCAGTAGGTCTAGACCAGGTTTGCACACACTGCAGCAGGGATTTTGGCCCACTCCTCCATACAGACCTTCTCCAGATCTTTCAGGTTTCGGGGCTGTCGCTGGGCAATACGGAATTTCAGCTCCCTCCAAAGATTTTCTATTGGGTTCAGGTCTGGAGACTGGCTAGGCCACTCCAGGACCTTGAGATGCTTCTTACGGAGCCACTCCTTAGTTGCCCTGGCTGTGTGTTTCGGGTCGTTGTCATGCTGGAAGACCCAGCCATGACCCATCTTCAATGCTCTTACTGAAGGAAGGAGATTGTTGGCCAAGATCTCGCGATACATGGCCCCATCCATCCTCCCCTCAATACGGTGCAGTCGTCCTGTCCCCTTTGCAGAAAAGCATCCCCAAAGAATGATGTTTCCACCTCCATGCTTCACGGTTGGGATGGTGTTGTTGGGGTTGTACTCATCCTTCTTCTTCCTCCAAACACGGCGAGTGGAGTTTAGACCAAAAAGCTCTATTTTTGTCTCATCAGACCACATGACCTTCTCCCATTCCTCCTCTGGATCATCCAGATGGTCATTGGCAAACTTCAGATGGGCCTGGACATGTAATGGCTTGAGCAGGGGGACCTTGCGTGCGCTGCAGGATTTTAATCCATGACGGCGTAGTGTGTTACTTATGGTTTTCTTTGAGACTGTGGTCCCAGCTCTCTTCAGGTCATTGACCAGGTCCTGCCCTGTAGTTCTGGGCTGATCCCTCACCTTCCTCATGATCATTGATGCCCCACGAGGTGAGATCTTGCATGGAGCCCCAGACCGAGGGTGATTGACCGTCATCTTGAACTTCTTCCATTTTCTAATAATTGCGCCAACAGTTGTTGCCTTCTCACCAAGCTGCTTGCCTATTGTCCTGTAGCCCATCCCAGCCTTGTGCAGGTCTACAATTTTATCCCTGATGTCCTTACACAGCTCTCTGGTCTTGGCCATTGTGGAGAGGTTGGAGTCTGTTTGATTGAGTGTGTGGACAGGTGTCTTTTATACAGGTAACGAGTTCAAACAGGTGCAGTTAATACAGGTAATGAGTGGAGAACAGTAGGGCTTCTTAAAGAAAAACTAACAGGTCTGTGAGAGCCGGAATTCTTACTGGTTGGTAGGTGATCAAATACTTATGTCATGCAATAAAATGCAAATTAATTACTTAAAAATCATACAATGTGATTTTCTGGATTTTAGATTCCGTCTCTTACAGTTGAAGTGTACCTATGATAAAAATGACAGACCTCTACATGCTTTGTAAGTAGGAAAGCCTGCAAAATCGGCAGTGTATCAAATACTTGTTCTCCCCACTGTATGTGGGCTTCATAAACTACCTTTTCTATGGGGTCACTGTCGCTGGGCAGATTGTTCTGCGCATCAAACAGCCAGACCTGTAACGGCCTATCAAGGTAAACCCACCATATCTGTGCACTGAATCCTGTTGGACAAGGTTATTGCTTGCTTGCACATTTTGATAGGAATGCTTGACTGCAGTCAGGACAGTATTGAGTAATGGGTCTACTCTTGTTTATGACAAGTTACACGCTGACACATATGCACAATGCCATCATGTTCAAAGCACGTGTTGTGTTCTCTGTGCATTGTTCAATTGTACTCTGTACTTTGTGTTTGTATTACAATTAATTTAATGTTTGTGTGTTAGATGTATAGACTCATTAATTCATAAATGACGTATGGGATTATTTTGTTGTTTTCATTTTGGTCAACAGACTATAAAATCACCAGAAATTCAGGTTTAAAATCTGTTAATTTAGAAAATCTGTTCCCAAGTATTCCCACGAATAAAAAAAGAGATGTGATCGTGTCTCAATGTAACCAATGTATGAAATGATTGTTCTTTTAAAATACAACCCTTTTTGGGCTTAATTGTGGTCAGTTTTCAGTGTACAAATTATTATCATTATGTTCCGGACCCCGACCATCCGCTCTGACAAAAATCGTCCCGAGGCTGAATTTATTTGCCTATCCTGGTGTATAGTTTGTGTATAGTTTGCTTGTGTATAGATTGTTGACTGTCCTGTCATCATGTGCGCCTGGTGTGGCCAGTGATCTACCTGCTGTTCTGGGCCTTCCTGCTCATCTTCTCCCTGTCCTCTGAGCTAGTGGTGTGTGGTATCGGCCTGGCCATCATGTTGACTGGAGTCCCTGTCTACTTCCTGGGTATCCACTGGGACAACAAGCCCCAATGCTTCAACACCTTCATAGGTACGACAACCATATTCATATGTGGTCAGGACAAACTTGGGGACCTAGTAAAGTAGCTCATAACAGTGCAGTGCAAAGTTGTGTGAAATGTTTAGCCCTTACGATTATATTGATATTAAATCTCTCATTTATTTGTCGCTCTTTCACAGTGGCGGTGCGTGGGTAAAATCAATGGGGAAGCAAAACAAAAGCCATATTACAACCTATGTGTTGTGATAATTGCGTTGTTTGCTCTATAACCTGTTAGTTCATATGCCTTGCGATCGTAATATATAGGCCTAAAGGCCGAGACAATAAGAAGACACAGTGGCAGAATAAATTCAACTACACCCTTTGTTTCGTCACAACCTCTGTCTGGTGAAGTCCACAAAGCATATTGCATGTAACAAACAGTTACATGACCTACAGCATGGTAAAGCAAGTTAATGTTTAGAACATTTTCGGATCACTAAACAACTATTGATTTAGAACCACGGAGAGTTACCGCAAGTCGCAAAGAAAACAGAAGCTGCCTCCACTATTCCAGCACCATTTCAACTTCAACATCATCAAATCACTTATGCTTAGTCTAATACAGTGACAACTAAAAGATACCAAAAACAATTTAGTCCAATCAACGTAAGCTAAATATGATGTGGCTGTCCATGATTCTGATTTATGTGTGTGTGTATGCATACACCTTCATGCAAGTATAAAAAACATGTTGACTCACTCTACTATTAGAGAAATGCCAATGCCATCCTCCTCTCTTTCATGTTGTGGAAACGGTCTATGATTGTCATACAGTACACACTTTTCGTTTTTGTTGTCCTAGGCTACCTGGCTAAAATGCTTGCCCGCTAGCCTAACTTCCTTTTCATGGGCAACGTTAGCTAGTTAACATTAGCCTTCTACATCTAGCTACATATTGAACTTCCATCCTCTCAGGCCAGGGGCACAATGAATGACTTAATGGTTGGATCAGAATTGCCGTTATAATCATTGGCCAGTATGGAGAATGAAGTAAAACCATGAGTCCAAATCCCTATCTCCATAATCGGCTAATTTAAGAAAGGGCCAATTTTAGCTAGCTAGCTAGCCCCTTAAGGACAACAACACAAGATGCAATAATTCAAGTTCTTTCTGTCAATGACGTATGCTCTCAATGCGATTTGATAAGAGTGACGCCGAATCCAAACTGACAGTTGAGCTCACTCAGTTGAGCTCACTCAATTATTTTATACTTTTTTCTATCAAGGGGGGCTGGCTTCCCTTGGCATCCATGAATACACGCTACCGGGCTCTCACTCTCTTTGTCTCTCCTCACTTCCTTCTCCCACCCAGGTAAGATGACCCACGTGTGCCAAAAGTTCTGTGTGGTGGTATATCCAGACATGGGCGAAAGCAGAAACGTATGGAATGAGCGATCGGAACAGGGACAAAAGAAGAAGAAGAGAAGAAGAAGAAAGAAGAAGGAAGAAGAAGAAGAAGAAGAAGAAGAAGAAGAAGAAGAAGAAGAAGAAGAAGAAGAAAGAAGAAGAAGAAGAACTGGGGAAGGCATTAAACCCATCTGAATGAACAATGGGACAGACAGAAACACAGATGAAGACATTTAGTAAGGGGGTACCGAGAGAGAGAGGGAGACTTCAAAAGATGGACAGAGACACTCAAGGAGATATGCTATAGCACTGGGTTCTCTCTTAAATGTTGACTGGCCTTAAGACTTTACAAATCTGCCTCAGTGCATACTACTGCCCATTCCCAGGAATCTGAGGTGCAATGTCAATATATTGGACGGATAAATGTATTTTTTTTTATATTCAGATGTAACGATCATTTCCTGTAGGACAGGTTTCCCAAACACAGTCCTCGGGAACCCAAGGGGTGCACGTTTTGTTTTTTGCCCAAGCACTACACAGCTGATTCAAATAATCAACTTATCATCAAGCTTTGATAATTTGAATCAGCTGTGTAGCGTTAGGGCAAAAACCAAAACATGCACCCCTTGGGGTCCCGAGGACTGAGTTTGGGAAACGTTGCTGTAGGATCAATTTTTTTGGGGGGGGGTCAATTTTGTACTGTATTGTCTTATTTTTATTTTGGTATCTGTTGTGTTATTTCTGTTTTGGTTGTGGCAAAGTTGTTTTTATGTTTAAGATTGATCTTAAAATATATTGTTTCCCACAAGACACCAAAACAATTGTCATTCCCAAAATGTTTTTGTTTTACTGTATTTCTTTTGTTATCACCCCTTTTCATTGGCTTATGTTATGGTTATACATGAGCGTAATATATTTTCTGGAGTCTATTCTTCAACATACTGTACTGTAGAGGGCAGGTGTATGGAAAACTCCTAAATGATCAGATCGTTTTATGTGATGATAAAGCCACTTTAAAGTGATGTTATCTCTCTCTCTCACAACTTGTCATTATGCATTGATGTTCAGGATTTTATTTTTAATCCTTGCAAAAGAACTAGCAAGACCCGAGCCCTTGATCATGACTCTCAGTTCCATTACATTACATGTAAGAGTCATTGGACGAAGGAGTCTTCTGTAGGGGGGAGTTTTGTTAAGATCCCCTACGCTCGGTCTGAACATTAATATGCATCGCTTGCGGTACGGTTTTGGAAGCATAAGGACGTTTATCTTTTATATCAGCGAGAAATAATAATAAATAAATAAAAGTTAAATTGATACACACCTTGATAGGGTTAGGGTTAATGTTCCCACACAGCCATGTTACAGCGCTTGTTTACGGAAAACAGATGGAAGACGAGGCGACCTGTGGTAATTAGCTATCTAGCATGCTCCGAACACCTGTGTAAGCGTAACTTGGGAAGTGTAGCAGAAGTGTAGTCTCATTAGATGGAGGCACCCATAGATGTATGGATCTGTGCAAAACTGCAACAATAAGTGTATCTTTTTTTTGAAGGATTCTTTCTCGCTGATGAAAGATAATGCCATATGTTTCGAAAGCTGTAGCGCAAGAGATGATTATTGACCTTTCTAGACATTAAAACACAGTGTCGGAATTGTAGTTCACATGAGGCAATCGTGGGTGAAGCTAATGGCTGAGAACTGTAGTGACAAGGCAGAATGCTTGCTGCCTAGTTTTTGAGAGCTAGCATGACCCATGCACTGAATGTAATAATTATGTAAACAATTGAAAATTAACATGCCCACTCACACTGTCTCCTTGTAATGCTGGGAAGTGCCATACTGATAGTTTATTTCACATTAGAAGCCTCCCACAAACACAATTACCTTTGCTCCATTTATGTAGTCAGATGTATGCTTCAGAGGACATTACTTAACTTTCCATGTGATATTCACAGGGCCGGCCCGCTCATTAGGCAGGATTAGGTACGCGCCTGTGGAGACAGATTGACAAAGGCAGCATTTTCTGAGCTAAACTGACCAAGATGCACCTCCAACAACACATAAAACCTCACACAATTACAATTTCTTTCAACCAGTGGCATATGGGCTTTTTAGGTGAGCGCTGATGCCGCCCTGTGATAAGCAGTGCCCACTTTGTCAAAGGCAGGGGAGCAAAATATTTTGCTTGTCCATTCCCAGCGCTCCTCTCCAGGGTGATGTTGGAGAGTCAAAAAAATGTAGCAGATATAGCCAGGGTAAAACATGAGACATTCACAATAATTCAAGTAGACTGTCAAGAAACGTCAAGCCATTACATCACTTTTTATCATTACCACATGTCAGAGTCATGAAAAATGAGCGAATGGACTTGAAAACGGGTGGTATAGACTATTCTCAAATGCGATGTGGTTCTACGAGAACAGTCGAATTTTGCCAAGGCAGAGATGAGCGGCTGACACCGAAACGCGCCAGTGGATGCATCAATTCTGGCCTAAAACAATAGCCAAATTTGTCATTACACTTTTTGGTGTTTTGTGTAACAGATGTCTCTTTCCATTCACCTCATACAGTTGAAGTCGGAAGTTTACATACACCTTAGACAAAAACATTTAAACTCTGTTTTTCACAATTCCTGACATTTAATCCTAGTAAAGATTCCCTGTTTTAGGTTAGTTAGGATCACCACTGTATTTTAAGAATGTGAAATGTCAGAATAATAGTAGAGAGAATGATTTATTTAAGCTTTTATTTTTTTCATCACATTCCCAGTGGGTCAGAAGTTTACATACACTCAATTAGTATTTGGAGCATTGCCTTTAAATTGTTTAACTTGGGGCAAACATTTCGGGTAGCCTTCCAGAAGCTTCCCACAATAAGTTGGGTGAATTTTGGCCCAATCCTCCTGACAGAGCTGCTGTAACTGAGTCAGGTTTGTAGGCCTCCTTGCTTGCACACGCCTTTTCAGTTCTGCCCACAAATTATCTATAGGATTGAGGTCAGGGCTTTGTGACGGCCACTCCAATACCTTGACTTTGTTGTCCTTCAGCCATTTTGCCACAACTTTGGAAGTATGCTTGGGGTCATTGTCCATTTGGAAGACCCATTTGCGACCAAGCTTTAACTTCCTGACTGATGTCTTGAGATGTTGCTTCAATATATCCACATAATTTTCCTTCCTCATGATGCCATCTATTTTGTGAAGTGCACCAGTTCCTCCTGCAGCAAAGCACCCCCACAGCATGATGCTGCCACCCACGTGCTTCACGATTGGGATGGTGTTCTTCGGCTTGCAAGCTTCCCCTTTTTCCTCCAAACATAACGATGGTCATAATGGCCAAACAGTTCTATTTTTGTTTCATCAGACCAGAGGACATTTCTCAAAAAAGTAAGATCTTTGTCCCAATGTGCAGTTGCAAACCGTAGTCTGTCTTTTTTATGGCAGTGGCTTCTTCCTTGCTGAGCGGCCTTTCAGGTTATGTCGATATAGGACTCGTTTTACTGTGGATATAGATACTTTTGTACCTGTTTCCTCCAGCATCTTCACAGGGTCCTTTGCTGTTGTTCTGGGATTGATTTGCACTTTTCGCACCAAAGTACGTTCATCTCTAGGAGACAGAACGCGTCTCCTTCCTGAGCGATATGCATGGTCCCATGGTGTTTATACTTGAGTAATATTGTTTGTACAGATGAACGTGGTACTGTAGTGTATTGAGATTATGATGGTGTTAAATGTTTTTAAGTGGAACTGAAAGAATGTTGATTTTAGTATCAAGAGGGAATGTTTTAGTGTAACGCCACATACAACAGACAGGAAGTGTGTTGTAGACACGGGGATTGGACAGTAGAGGGAGCCACCCACATCTTGGGAGTTTATATATACTGGGGGGAAAAACGACGAAGGGGCAGAAAGCATTGAGATTCATTTGGGACTGCTTCTCCAGACTGCGCGGGTCTGTAACTTATGCTGTAACCTCGTGATATTAATAAAAGCCTCTAAAACACGGTGCAGCTTAAGTGGATTCTTTGATTGACAGCAATACCCACCAGCATTCGACGCGATACCACAGTACCTTCAGGCGTTTGGAAATTGCTCCCAAGGATGAACCAGACTTGTGGAGGTCTACAATTTCTTTTCTGAGGTCTTGGCTGATTTATTTTGATTTTCCCATGATGTCAAGCAAAGAGGCATTGAGTTTGAAGATAGGCCTTGAAATACATCCACAGGTACATCTCCAATTGAATCAAATTATGTCAATTAGCCATCAGCCATGGCATCATTTTCTTAGTGTAGGTAAACTTCTGACGCACTGGAATTGTGATACAGTGAATTATAAGTGAAATAATCTGTCTGTAAACAATTGTTGGAAAAATTACTTGTGTCATGCACAAAGTAGATGTCCTAACCGACTTGCCAAAACTATAGTTTGTTAACAAGAAAGTTGTGGAGTGGTTGAAAAACTAGTTTTAATGACTCCAACCTAAGTGTATGTAAACTTCCGACTTCAACTGTATGTTGCGAATGGATGGATGTGTGTGGGTAGCCTATAAAGGAGCCCTTTGAAGTGTTTGTTTGACAATCAAATGAAAACATCTTGACTGGTTGTGTTTATGCCACAATAAAAGGTAACACATTTAAATCATTATGACCAAGGCCCACAGAGATCCTATTGAATTAATAGGGATTGTACATGTAATTCTATGATTAGGCCCATAAAAAATGTTGGTGCACGCGCTTGGTTCTGTACCGGGAAGAAATGAATTCTACATTCACTCCTGGATATGCATATGGTAGAAAGAGTATGTGGCCTTTTCTGTAGTCTACAGGCTGGAGATCAAATGTATGACAATGTAATGAGACAGACACTTTTTATATCATGCAGATTTCTCCGATCAAATAGACTAACCTAAATGGCGGCCAATCAAATAAAAATTGCGCTGAAATGTTAACAAACAACCGAAAAACAGGACAGGTCAAAGTAAAATGGACAATATTGGAATGGACAATCAGGCTACTCACAACTGCTGTCCAAGGAGTTTAACCCTGTGGGCTAAATTATCATGATCAGTGGTTTCAAGTTTGTGTCTGTCAATTTTTGATGAGCTGATCATGGTAAAAAGGAAAATACTTCTGATTTCCCACTATGTACACATTGCAAATAAGCTCAGGATAACTACTGATGAAGTTGGGTAGCTGATATTCAGAGCTTAAATAGCCAAATTGATTAGTCACAGGAATCAGGACTAATACAGCCAATGCAACCTCTTGTTTTGCAAACGGTGGCCCTACTACAAGGATGGGCATTAATAAAATTCCTTTGCGGGCTGGGCCACATCTTTTGGACATCTTTTTGTCCCGGACCGGCCGTCTTTTTTTGGTGTTTTACAATTGGTAGGCCTACCACATAGATGGGTATTCATAAAATTATATTTCAGGCGACACTGTAGGCTACACCTCAGTAAGCACCGACACAGACGCCTTTTGAACATCTTTATTTGTTCCTGTCCGGACTTGCCTTGATTTCCACGTCCACAGTTGTTTTGTCACTGTCTTGACCAAATCTGAACCAACCATAGACGTAAAATCTGAACCAATCATAGAAGTCAATTTTTCTGTCTTGCCTAGGGCGGCAGAACTGTCAGTACTGGCCCTGGATATTCAGCACCACTTTCAACATGTTATCACACTATGCAATATCTGATGTGTCACCACCGTTTTGTAACAGCATGATGTAATACAGCTTTTGGCCAACACCACATAAATGTCTTTATTGAATATTATTCTGACATGTCTGCAGTGGCAGGGAAGTAGACAGGGAAAAGTCCGTGCTTGCACACTTTTCAATTTTTTAAATCATAAAATCATCTTCTCACTGCTCTTGCATACACTTATATACACATGGCACAAACATTTTATGTATGAAAATAATTGGAGGCTAAAGGAGACTGACCATGACCTTCACCAAAACCCCCGTGTAGCTCAGTTGGTAGAGCATGGCGCTTGCAACGCCAGGGTTGTGGGTTCGTTTCCCACGGGGGGCCAGTTTGAAAAATATATATATATGCACTCACTAAAACTGTAAATCGCTCTGGATGAGAGCGTCTGCTAAATGACTCAAATCTAAATGTGATCTCTGATCTCTGACCATGCACCATCAGTTACTGCACCCCCACCTCATCCATCTTCCACCTGTTGTCAAGGACACCGACCTCCACGTAGGTAGCCTACAGTTTTCCTAAGGGGCGGAGTTCAAGCCTAGATCAGATGGCGGAAGTGATGCTGCCATTATGATTTTCACATGAAGTTTAGGGGACCGTGCAGTAGGCGTCCATCCAAGATAGCGCCGAGTAGTTTTAGTTGCCCATTCATTTGTGAGGCAAGAGTTTAATTAATGTTGACACATCGCCGTTAATTGAGCGCAGAAACCGGCTTGGTATTTTTATAGGGGCGTTTTTACTTTCTGAAGGTAAGAGACTAGCATCGAGCTCCCATGTAATCCGAGGTTATCCTCGAGCATTAGCTGGCTAAATAAATGCATAGTTGACATCGCTTCTGTAAGGTTGATCCTAAACATGTTGTGAAAGCAGATCGCCTAACGAACTGAATTTTTAGGCAAGAGCTGCGGTGTGTTGTGGCTAGCAACGCTAGGTGAATTAATTCGATACCTTGTATCAAGATAATATTGACACCACGGCTGCCTATATCGTGTAAGGCTTGTAGTTGTACATGGTTGTTTCGTATTTCACTTTCAATTGTAATTCAATAACTGAACGGCCGCTCTATTTAAAAAGGAAGTAGCGACCTCGGGTATACTGTATCATTAACAGCACCTGCAACTCGGAAGTATTCCCTATTCAAATGACTGTACAGGAAATGCTAGTACTTTTACAGACGCTCCTGAATAACTTATTAGTTGTTTCACCAGCTTTGTTGTCCTACATGCACCGATAGTCAATGCATTTTCTTATTCAGATTACTATGTTTGGGTCTTCTTGTATGTCTATGTCATTTGCCATACGTGTCAGTGAACCAAGCAGGTAATACAGACTTTTGTTGTTGTTGGAACTGTTGAACATCTCTCATCCTGAACCCCCCCCCCCCCCTCCCTCTTTCTGTCCCACACAAACACGTACACACAGAGCCATGTCTCCGTCTGTGCGTCTGCAGGAGATGATCAGGGTGATCAGAGGAGCCCGTACACAGGGAGAGGAGCGTGGTGTGATCCAGAGGGAGTGTGCAGCCATCCGGGCGCAGTTCAGACAGGCTGACAATGGGACGCGCTCTCACAACCTGGCAAAGCTGCTGTATGTGCACATGCTGGGTTACCCCGCCCACTTCGGTCAGGTAATGAACAGTGCCTCTTAAGATGTCTGTAGTGTTGGTATATTTGTATCCTAAAAACTTGCCAACTCCCTCTCTGGTCTCAGATGGAGTGTGTGCGTCTGATTGCCAGCCCTCGGTACAATGAGAAGCGTGTTGGGTACCTGGGTGCCATGATGCTTCTAGACGAGAAGCAGGATGCTAGCCTGCTCATCACAAACTCCATCAAGAAGTAAGGACAATTTTATCAGCAATTTTACCATGAAATTGGAAGTATGAAAATTGGAAGTGATTGCTGCATTGTTGGGAAAGAGCTTGCAAGAAAGGCATTTCACTGTAGTTGTGCACGTGCCAATAAAACTTGAAACTTGTATAAGACAGAGAGACAAAACTAAGACAATCAGAGAGACGGGACTCTGAGAAAGTCCGACAGACGGAACTCTGAGACAGTCAGACAGACGGAACTCTGAGACAGTCAGACAGAATTCTCAGACAGACAGAAGATAATCAGACTGGAACCAGAACTGTCTAGAGTTCCATAATAATGTCTAGGCTGTGTACGATCAATGTTACCATACATAAATATTGAACTAGTGGTCTAGTAACCTCTACTTCAGCACAAATCAATTGAGCAATTGTCGTTAAACCCCCATCTCCTTCTCTCCCTATGTGTGTTTCAGTGACCTATCCCACAGCAGTCAGTATGTCCAGTCTCTGGCTCTGTGTACTCTGGGCTGTATGGGCTCAGCTGAGATGTGTCGAGACCTGGCCCCAGAGATCGACCGCCTCCTCAGAGCCTCCAACTCCTACATCAAAAAGAAGGTGAGCACTCTCTGTAAACACAAACACACACACACACACACAAATCCACTCCTTCCATCTCGCCTTCATGGCTGACCTTGCTAATGCAGAAACACAAACCAATCCATCTTGAGCACTACTGTAAAACACTGCATTGCAACAGACTAAAGGAAACCATCATGTGGACTGAACTGAGTGTGAGATGTAAAGTGATGCACTGATGTTGAAGGTTAATTTTGTTATGAAGCTGATCATGATGACAATTACATTTCAGGCAGCTCTTTGTGCGGTGCACATCGTGAGGAAAGTACCAGAACTAGGAGAGCTGTTCACCCCTGCAGCTCGATCCCTGCTCTCTGAAAAGAACCACGGTGAGTCTGTCATCATTTGTTTAGTTTTTCTTATATTACCAGCTGTTCACTGTCTACTCCTTTCTGTCAATCTTTCTGTGCCTACCAGTTTCACAGTCTGATACATTTGAGTACAGTATGTAGTCTTACATTTTGACTGTTAGCTGTTACCATGTATGTTATAGCATAATAAATAGTGTCCGTGTGGCAATTCTTCCCCTCCTCATGGTTTGGTCTGATTGCAGGGGTGTTACATGGAGCTGTGGTTCTGATTACTGAGCTGTGTGAGCGCAACCCAGACACACTAGAGCAGTTTCGTAAGGTAAGACACACACTCACCCACCTCATCTCACCCCATTCATTCCAGTACAGCCATTCAACATGATGAGACATTCAATTTCAGTCCCTTGAAAATGATATCTTTGGTTATACACTGTAACATTAAATGCCAAATCGATACTTGTGAAAACGGCACATGATTGCACATCCCTAGATGATGATCTGTGATTTTGACTCCTGGTGTGTGTTTGTGTTTGGTCTAGGTGGTGCCGGAGCTGGTCCAGATAATGAAAGGCCTGGTGATGTCAGGTTACTCTCCAGAACACAACGTGGCTGGGATCAGTGACCCCTTCCTGCAGGTCAGTGTTTTAAATAATTTATTTTACCAGGTGAATTGGAGTCAATTTGTGACTGAACCTACAGTGCCTTCGGAAAGTATTTAGACCCCTTGACTTTTGAAAATGTTTGTTACGTTACAGCCTTATTCTAAAATTGATTAAATAGTTTTTTTTTTTTTCCCCTCATCAATCTACACACAATACCCCATAATGACCAAGCAAAAACAGGTTTTTAGAAATGTTTGCTAATTTATTAAAAAAGGAAATATCACATTTACATAAGTATTCAGACCCTTTACTCAGTACTTTGTTGAAGCACCTTTGGCAGTGATTACAGCCTCAAATCTTCTTGGGTGTGATGCTGTATTTGTGGAGTTTCTCCCATTCCTCTCTGCAGATCCGCTCAAGCTCTGTCAGGTTGGATGGGGAGCGTTGCTGTACAGCTATTTTCACGTCTCTCCAGAGATGTTCGATCGGGTTCAAGTCCGGCCTCTGCCTGGGCCACTCAAGGACATTCAGAGACTTGTCCCGAAGCCGCTCCTGCGTTGTCTTGGCTGTGTGCTTAGGGTCGTTGTCCTGTTGGAAGGTGAACCTTCGCCCCAGTCTGAGGTCCTGAGCGCTCTGGAGCAGGTTTTCATCAAGGATCTCTCTGTACTTTGCTCCGTTCATCTTTGCCTCGATCCGGACTAGTCTCCCAGTCCCTGCCGCTGAAAAACATCCCCACAGCATGATGTTGCCACCACCATGCTTCAATCTAGAGAGTTCAATCTAGGTTTCATCAGACCAGAGAATCTTGTTTCTCATGGTCTGAGAGTCTTTAGGTGCCTTTTGGCAAACGCCAAGCAGGCTGTCATGTGACTTTTACTGATTGGTGGAGTGCTGCAGAAATGATTGTCCTTCTGGAAGATTCTCCCATCTCCACAGAGGAACGTTCGAGCTCTGTCAGTGTGACCATTGGGTTCTTGGTCACCTCCCTGACCAAGGGCCTTCTCCCACGATTGCTCAGTTTGGCTGGGCGGCCAGCTCTAGGAAGAGTCTTGGTGGTTCCAAACATCTTCCATTTAAGAATGATGGAGGCCACTGTGTTCCTGGGGGCCTTCAATGCTGCAGAATTTTTTTGGTACCCTTCCCCAGATCTGTGCCTCAACACAATCCTGTCTCTGAGCTCTACGGACAATTCCTTCGACCTCATGGCTTGGTTTTTGCTCTGACATGCACTGTCAACTGTGGGACCTTATATAGACAGGTGTGTGCCTTTCCAAATCATGTCCAATCAATTGAATTTACCACAGGTGGACTCCAATCAAGTTGTAGAAACATCTGAAGGATGATCAATGGAAACAGGATGCACCTGAGCTCAATTTCGAGTCTCATAGCAAAGGGTCTGATTACTTATGTAAATAAGGTATGTCTGTTTTTTTTTTTTTATAAATTTGCCTAAGAAAATCTAAACCTGTTTTCGCTTTGTCATTATGGGGTATTGTGTGTAGATTGCTGAGGATATATATATTTTTTAATCAATTTTAGAATAAGGCTGTAACGTAACAAAATATGGAAAAAGTCAAGGGTTCTGAATACTTTCCGAAAGCACTACATTACCAAAGTATGTGGACACCTGCTCGTCGAGCATCTAATTCCAAAATCATGGGCATTAATATGGAGTTGGTCCCCCCTTTGCTGCTATAACAGCCTCCACTCTTCTGGGAAGGCTTTCCACTAGATGGCAGAACATTGCTGTGGGGACTTGCTTCCATTCAGCCACAATAGCATTAATGAGGTCGGGCACTGATGTTGGGCGATTAGGCCTGGAACGCAGTCGGTGTTCTAATTCATCCCAAAGGTGTTTGATGGGGTTGAGGTCAGGGCTCTGTGCAGGCCAGTCAAGTTCTTCCACACCGATCTCGACAAACCATTTCTGTATGGACCTCGCTTTGTGCATGGGGGCATTGTCATGCTGAAACAGGAATGGGCCTTCCCCAAACTGTTGCCACAATGCTTCCAGAGGCAGTTTGGAACTCGATAGTGAGTGTTGCAACCGAGAACAGGCGATTTTTACGCGCTACGTGCTTCAGCACTCGGCGGTCCCGTACTGTGAGCTTTTATGGCATACCACTTCGCGGCTGAGCCGTTGTTGCTCCTAGACGTTTACACTTCACAATAACAGCACTTACAGTTGACCGGGGCAGCTCTAGCAGGGCAGAAATTTGACGAAACTAACTTGTTGGAAAGGTGGCATCCTATGACTGTGCCATGTTGAAAGTCACTGAGCTCTTCGGTAAGGCCATTCTACTGCCAATGTTTGTCTATGTAGATTGCATGGTTGTGTGCTCGATTTTATACACCTGTCAGCAACGAGTGTGGCTGAAATAGCCGAATCCACTAATTTGAAGGGCTGTCCACATACTTTTTTATATATAGTGTATTTCTCTTTCTCTGTCTCTCACTGTTTATCCATCATTAGGTGCGCATTCTTAGGTTGCTGAGGATCCTGGGTCGTAATAATGATACAGCCAGTGATGCCATGAATGACCTGCTGGCCCAGGTACAGTAATGAAACCACATGCAAGGATTCACACTGCAGTATTTTCACCAGTAAATAGTCTTGCAGGGTTGTTGTTGTATGATTTATTTAAGCAATAATGCCTGAGAAGGTGTGGTATATGGCCAATATACCTCGGCTAAGGGCTGTTCTTAGTGGACACAGCCCTTAGCCATATACCACAAACCCCAGAGGTGCCTTATTGCTATTATAAACTGGTTACCAACGTAATTAGAGCAGTAAAAATACATGTTTTGTCATACCCGTGGTATACGATCTGATATAACACGGCTGTCAGCCAATCAGCATTCAGGGCTAGAACCACCCAGTTTATAATTCGATTTTTATCACTGTTTCTTTATACAGGTGGCCACGAACACAGACAGCAGTAAGACTGCAGGCAGTGCTGTGTTGTATGAAACGGTTCTCACTGTCATGGACATCAAATCAGAAAGTGGCTTGAGGGTAAGTGCCACGTGTGATACCATCAAGTAATTTCTTGTTTGTATCCATTGAATGTGCTACAAGTGGTTGAGGCCAATGTAGCTAACATTTATGTACAACAGAGGCCGTATCTAGGTTGTGTTTTTTTGTGTGTGACAGGTCCTAGCTGTGAATATCCTGGGGCGATTTCTTCTGAACAACGATAGGAACATCCGGTTAGTGTCCCCTCACCTCCCCCTTCCATCTCTCTCTTTCATTTATCTCATCTGGTCCTTCTTCATGGTTTCTAGCCCATTGCCTAGAAGGTTATTGTTGCCTGAGGCAGACAAACCTGTGGATTCTAATACATCTAAACACAGTCAACAATGTCTATTCCTGTGATTATTTAGCTAGAGGCCTTACAGTGACAGACAGGGTTGTGGGCTAACGATCACATATACATTTCCTTTTTATCCATATTTTCCTGTTGGGATTGTTCCCCTAGGGTCTGTCTGGCCCAGCAGGTTATTCTGGTCTGGTCCCAGGCTTAATCGCCGCTCCCTCTGGCAGTGGGACAGCTGATGGAAAGCTGCTAGACTGGCTCAGAGCAGATATGATCATTCTCTCAGCATGCAGAATGATCGCAGATCATTACACCAGATATACATTTCAAAGACCTTAAACTTAGAGGAGAGCAGTCATGCTCACCACCAGGGAAGAAAGCACACAGCTAAAATGTTTGCATGAGATGGGAGACCTTGGAAATGATAGTTGTTGAAGAAAATCACAAACATGTTGCTTGGCTGAGCAGAGTTTGTTCCATGAAATGTATCCATGCACCAATTGATAAATTATCACAGCCCTCGCACATGACCAGAAACACACAAATATAACACGTCTTTCTCTTTCTCTTTCTATGTCTAAATCTTTTTATTCATGCACAGGTACATCTCCATGACTTCCCTTCAGAAGATTGTTCAGACAGACCACAATGCAGTGCAGCGTCACAGGGGGACCATAGTGGACTGCCTGAAGGACCAGGATGCTTCTGTCAAACGGTACTGTATTGATTGCTGAACCTATACTACCGGTTAGCCACGTGTCACCTATTCATGAGCTATAATGGAAGGTGGCGTAGTACTGTAGAGAATAACAGTATATAGTTATAATCTTCTTTATGTTTATCCCTCAGCCGGGCATTGGAGCTTTCTCTGGCCCTGGTGTCAGCTGTCAACATCCGCTCTCTGATGAAGGAGCTGCTCCTCTTCCTCTCCAGCTGTCCCCCAGAGCTCCGAGCACACACCACCTCAGGCATCTTCAACGCTGCAGAGAGGTACAGGGCTGGCCCTCACCTGTCTATGGGCTTTAAATGTCTCTATGTCATGTAGTCTCTTTAGCTGAATGTCTCATTTTGTATCTATGTCTATATGAATGTTTCCCTGTCTCTGTGTCAGGTGCGGTACTGTTTCTGTCTTGCGTTCTTTGTCTGTATATGTCTCACTGCTATCTGGCTGTTCTACCACTGAACACACACAGGCCTAGCCAGTAGCCTGCCCTCCCTGTGTGTCACTGTCAGTCTGTCTGTGTTTTGTGTCTGAGCCGCAGCACTGAACACCACTGAGTCTCTGTCTCTGTGTCTCTGTCAGGTATGCTCCCTCTCAGCGCTGGCACATTGACACCATCCTGCATGTCCTCACCACGGTAAATACTGACACTGTACTGCACCACAATCACCTGGTGATTGTACAACTTGTTTTAATAATAATAATAATATGCCATTTAGCAGACGCTTTTATCCAAAGCGACTTACAGTCATGCGTGCATAATTGTTTTTTGTTTTTGTGTATGGGTGGTCCTGGGGATCGAACCCACTACCTTGCCACTACAAGCGCTGTGCTCTTCCAGCTGAGCTACTGTACAAGTTGTTTTGAACTATGACCAGCTATTGTAAATACCCCTATGATGTATCCCACTTATATCACCCCACTATACTTCAAGCTGTCTGGGTGGAAGCTAGGCCTCCCCACATTGCCACTATTTGCCCTGTCTAGACTAGTCTAGACATTCCTGTGTTTGACAGTAGTACCATCTCTTTCAGGCAGGGGGCGACGTGAGGGATGAGACAGTTCCCAACCTGATCCAGCTCATCACCACAGCAACAGAACTACACTGCTACACGGTCCACAAGCTGTACAGAGCCCTGATTACAGACATCTCAGTGGTATGGCTTTAGTATGAATGTGTTTGTGTGCCATGCTCTGTAGAATTGTGATTGTGTTATCAGTCAGGAAAACCTCAATGCCCTGGTTATCCTCTATTCTCAGCTGTGGAACTGTGCAATGTTTGTTTGTGTGTGCAGCAATCCCTGGTACAGGTGGCATGCTGGTGTATTGGGGAATATGGAGACCTGCTTCTGAGAGGAGAGTGTGAGGAGACAGAACCTGTTCAGGTACATGAGGGAGGATGCTTTGGTTGTTTTAACACAGGCATTGTTAATACCCATTGACAATACAGTATTAATTGTCATAAAACTGAGACAGTTCTTCTTGTTTGTCTGTCCTGCCATTAGGTGGCAGAGGATGATGTCCTGGACGCCTTGGAAATGGTTCTACAGTCACATATGTCGTCGCCGGCAACCAGGGGCTTTGCGCTCACAGCAACCATGAAACTCAGCACACGCATAACACATAACGTGGAGTAAGCATAATTATCTCACACCCCTCAGAACACTGCTACAACCGCTATACAGCAACTACTGAAAACTGCTTTGTCAGTTTTGCCCACTGCGTGGGGTCTTGGGACTTGTGACTCTCATTGCTGATACAGAGAATACTAAAATAGCTCGTTTCCTGGTGTTTTTCTCTCCTCACCCCTGTCCGGCAGTCGCATTAGGAGCATCGTCAGCATCTACGGCAGCTGCATCGACGTGGAACTCCAGCAGAGGGCAGTGGAATATAACGCTCTGTTTAAGAAATACGACCACATGAGGTAGTCTATGTAATAACATACAGTATATTGCCAATGATGTATAAATATATTATTATATCTATGAATACAACACTGAGGGGAAATGGCAGCACCTCAGTGACTCAATTATTCTTTTCATCATGGTAGCTACTTTTGCTTTGCCCAATACACTGCTAAGAGAGCTCTGTGCTCGCAGGGCTGCTGTTCTGGAGAGAATGCCAGTGATTGACAAGAGCTCACCGGGACATACCAATGGAGAATCAGCAGGGGGGACTATGAAAGAGATGGAGCCAACCAAACTGACACAGGAAGTAGTATTGCCCCAGGAACCTGCTAACAAGGTAAGGGATGAAAATGACCAATAAACTTTGGTAGTTTCAGCTATCTGGATATGAAGTATACTTGACCTATTGCATACTGTGTGTGCACTTTCTCAAGCTAAACCTCTCAAATGTAACTCAATATGGAATCTTTCCCTCATTTTCTCTTGTCAAGGTGTGTGATCTGTTGGACCTGCTAGGTGGTTCTGCGGAGCCTCTCCAGTCCAGCCCAGCCCTGTCCACCACACCGCTCGGCCCTGTTAGCAGCACGGCTGGGGGAGACCTACTGGACCTGCTGGGAGGCCTGGATGTCACACCTGGTGAGACACACTGAGCTGCTGAGTGAGAGTGAAAGAGAAATGGAGATGGGGGTTTCAGAGAGATGGACAATGCCATCATTAAGCCATCAGAAATACATATGAAGATGTACTGTTTGGGATTTTAGAATGAACACATCAGTAGCTTTATGCAAAAGATATAGCATGTCTTCATAATGTATTTAATGATGGTCTGTTTCTTGTGCTGAATTTCATGAGCCCCAGTGTGACAGGTGTTTCTTTGTTTCCATAGTGCCACCTTGTGTTATAGTGTATGAGAAGAACGGTGTGACTCTGAAACTACAGACTGACAGACAGACAGACACAGGGATGACTGTTACCCTCACTGCCACCAACTCTACTGACGGGGACATCACCAGCATCACCCTGCAAGCAGCAGTACCCAAGGTCTGTCCGTCTGTTTTTGGGTCCGTCTGTCAGACTACCTTAGTATTTGGTATTCCAAACTTGTACGGCGTGAGTAGGCCCCTCTAGACCATGTGACCAGACCAGGAAAAACTCTGGGCCCTAGTTATAGGCTATTCATGACCTTTGTCTCTCACTACCATCCAACTCAGAGCGTCCAGTTACAGATGAAGGCTCCGAGTGGTGACGTCATCCCGGCACATGGCTTAGGTCAGGTGACCCAGACTGTGCTCCTCAACAACCCTAACAAGGTGGGTCTTCAGTCAGTCAGTCACAGTGGTTGCCACACACATGCACACACCCACACTCACGGGCACACCACAATGAAATAAACATTCACTTCCTTCCTAATCAGGTGAGTCTGAAAATGAGGGTGCGTGTGTGCTACACCAGCCAGGGCTCTGTCTGCCAGGACACGGTGCAGATCGACTCATTTCCCAGCCCCGCCTGGTAATGACAGCTGAAATCAACCTGTCCATCAACACTGACATCAGACCATGGAAGGATTGACAGCCGATCAGGCCCAGGAGTGGGGATCCATTCTACCCGACAGCTGCCTGTCAATCATACACAGAGGGGATCCTCTCTGTCATTCAACTATTCTATTCTACAACCGGATATTTTTCCAAATGACTTAATTCTCTTATTTTTCTAAATGGCTGACCCTTAAGAACCGTGGAAAATGTCCCCCTACAGTTAGCAGGGATTTATGTAGATAAACTGGGACTGTCACCCTAAAAGCCATTGTCACCATTCTACCTTTTCAGCTTCTGTTTGGACTACTGGTATGACATTTCCCATAGCATAACCAACAGTATTAATGGCACTACTGAACATGGTACTGTCTTTGGTGTGTATTTCCAGAGTTGCAGGTCATCATCATTGTTGTCACTTCAATCAACAATAGTAATATGCAGCTGTCTGCCTGGGCCAGTGGGACTTGTCCAATCAGGAGATACATCTATCCTGAGAACTGTGCAATCAAGACTGTCCACATGAAAGGTGTCTGTCTGGATAATCTTTTAAGAGAGTAGCTTGAAGTCTTGGCCTATGCTACCTTGACCACTTTTCTTTCACTCCGGGACTACTTACCTACCTACCGTTGTGGCTCACTGTTACAGTTCCCTCTTGTCAATCTGAGCCACATGATTAGCATCCCCTAACACTATGCCTTATCTATACTTACGGTACATGCCTTCCATTGGTGTACTCTTCTCCTCCCTACCTCTCTTTACCATCTGCTTCTCTCTTCCCCCGTGCCTGTCACTCAGAACCTCCTTTGGAGCTGAGGTATTATGATGTATGTGTATATAGACTTTATTTTGAGGTGGGAGTTGCTGTTTTATCTGTGAATTATGTGTACTACCCCAATACTGATCTCTGTATCTTTGTGAAGCATCAGTGCCAGTCAGGCAGTCCTGCCCAGTGTTTCCCATTCCATAGCTTATGCCTCTTGAGTTGTTTTAATGCATCTAGGAAAATACATCTAGGGAAAATACTGGTCCTGACCCCTGGGTGGGGCACAATGGGTGACTTATGTTCTCAACACACTAGACTAATCTTGGGTTGTAGGAGACTGCAAATCTTGTTACGATACCAAATAGTTGATACAGATGCACACACACGCTAATGGATATTTGAGGGTGCACAACGGGGCTGATAAGTGCCTCCACAAGGATACAAAAGTAGTACCACATCCCTGACAGAATTAATTTGGTAACTTGCTAATATACCGAACATCTGGGCCATATCACTGGCTGCCCACTAATTTTTTTTATAACTTGCATTGACAGAACATTGACTGGTTCATGGATATAAACAAAGGTACTCTTGAAAATGGGGTTCAGTGCAATTTGAGCAAAACATCCATCCTTCAGACCACTATCCTCGTAAAGGAACCAGAGGGAGAGACGAGTAAAGAGAATTCAGTTTGTTGTGTGCATTGCCTTTGACTCCCATGTCTTATGTCATTTGTAATTAAAGATTATCAAATTGAATTATGAATTAATTATTTTCATCAGAGTTCATAACTGCCTATATGGAAAGTCGTTTTACAATGCACTGCTAAATTACACACTCATGCAATAGCAGCCATACATGTACTTCAAAAGAAACTGTCAATTTCACCTTTTATTCACAAGCAAAATAACCAGTGTCCAAACTCACTCTCCCACTGTGTCCCATTTACACGGTTGGAATTTAAGCATGGGTGGTTACAAAAACAATCTACACAGAGGAATTATAGCAGTCCAAATTGTCATCGTCACACAGAGCAGCAAACTCTATGGTTGGCACAAGGCCCAACTGTAGAGTTTCTGCCCACTAGGAGAGTAGGTGTATGCTGGAACAGTGGCAGACAAGCCCTCCTCTTAGCGCCAGGACCAGATGCAGCACTGAGCCTCCCTGGATCTTGTAGTCTGCAGCGGTCTTCTCATCGTTCCTGAGAGGGATGGGATGAAGTCGGAGCAGATAAAACAAGTGTTGCATCCAAGATGTAATGCTGCCACTTGATTAACACTAGAACCACCATAGGCCAAAGGTGTTTGGTTGTGTAAATAAAATAAATCAGACAAAAAAAAGCTAAGTCCTGCTCCTTCCCTGACTTTTCCTGTTGTATTTTACATTGCTCATTTGTCTGAGTTTTTTTTTATCACAAACATACGTTTTTTCACACCTATTCCCAACTTAACCTGCCAAGACAATGCGCTGTAAGACGCTGGTACCCGGCCAGGTGCTGATGCGTCTCTCTCTCCTCACTGAATGAATGACCAATGGATGAATTGGCGATAATTGTGCACGTTGCTTCACAATTGAATTTAAATTAGGCCCAACTGAATTATAAGGATGGTGAAGAGGCTGATTGAATTTAATAAGAAAATAGTGTAATGATGAGTTTGTGTTATGCCTATTCATCAACGTTGGCGCTCATGTTTATAGCAAATCATTTGACCGTGCTCCTTGCTGGTTTACCATCCTCTTTTACGTTTTACTTTCTAAAAAGAAGCTGTTGCAGGACTGTTTTATTTTTACTAGAACTAATCAAAATTATTATAAGGGAAACGAAAACATGCTACAAGTTGTTGAGCAAAGGGACTCAAACGATGCCAGCCCACTGAATGAATGACAAATGGATGAATGGGCGATAATTGCACATTACTTCAAAATCGAATTTAAAATAAGCCTAACTGAACGATAAGGAGGGTGAAGAGGTTGATTTAATTTAGAACAACAATACTGTAATGATGAGTTTGTGTTATGCATATTTATCAGCGTTGGCACTCATGTTACTAATTTGACCGCGTGATTTGCAGGTTGATACTATTCTCTTTTACGTTTTCCTTTGTAAAAATAAGCTGTTACGGGACTGTTTTAGTTACTATAACTCTATTATTAAAATCACATTTATTGTAAGGGAAACTAAAACATGCTATGTGTTGCAGTAGGCCTTTAGAATAATGCAAAACATATCCTTAACTCTATCCAAGTTGAGCGAAGGGGAAAGAAACGATGCCAGTCTGCCTGCGCAGCAGGCCCATCGAAACTACACCCAAACTAATTTCACACATAATAAGACTTAGCCTATAGACAAGATGAAATTGACAGTCTGAGTGACAATATTATCAGTTGTCAGATTGTACATGAAGAGATGGGCACATCTTCTAATTGACAGATGCAGGGAAACAAGCATCACTTCATCAAATCCTCACATGCAGGTAAAACATTGATTTCTATATAGTATCAGAAAGATCATATTCTGCAGTTTCTATGACACTTACTGTTATGTATGGTACGACATGCTGTATGTCATACTGTACGTTGCTATGGTTTACAACAGTGTGCTGCTTTACGGATGAATGGGTTGTCAGAATAAGTGGCACATGTAATTAAACGAGAGAGTGATGTACAATGTGAAACTGTGCAGATGTGCATTCTTCTACAGCTAGGCTAGATATAACACTTACCTTTGTAAAATAACTCAAAATTCAAGAGGTGCAGCTCTATTTCCAAATTTCACAAGAATACCTGCACTGTCCATGCACTCAGCACATGACCACTCGCAGGCAGCATTTCTCTGGCTACTAAGCAAAGATTTGTAACATAATGAACTTAAAATATGGTATTCTGTTTTCGTTTAAATACATTTTCGTATTTCCACAATGTTTCTTTAGACCTGCCAAAACGAAATTATAATGGACTTCTTTGTGATGGACTTGAACTAGTGTTTTTTTGTTTTTACTTGTAGCCTAGAGTAACAAACAAATGAAAATGCTATTATGTTCGTTGAAATAATAGTTTTTTCATATTCTAATGATACCTAACACCTTTATAAACACAAATGATTATTCTAAAAAATGATTATTCTAAAATGAATAATATAAACAAATAAGTAGATGTTATATTTTTACATGGAAAGTATTCAGACCCCTTGATTTTTTTCCACATCTTGTTAGAAAAGAAAAAAGGAAATATCTCATTTACGTAAGTATTCAGACCCTTTACTCTGTACTTTATTGAAGCACCTTTGGCAGCAATTACAGCCTAGAGTCTTCTTGGGTATGATGCTTGGCACACCTGTATTTGAGGAGTTTCTCCCATTCCTCTCTGCAGATCCGCTCAAGCTCTGTCAGGTTGGATGGGGAGCGTTGCTGCACAGCTATTTTCAGGTCTCTCCAAAGATGTTCGATCAGGTTTAAGTACGGGCTCTGGCTGGGCCACTCAAGGACTGAGACTTGCATTGACTTGGCTGTGTGCTTAGGGTCATTGTCCTGTTGGAAGGTGAACCTTCGCCCCAGTCTGAGATCCTGAGCGCTCTGGAGCAGGTTTTCATCAAGGATCTCTCTGTACTTTGCTCCGTTCATCTTTGCCTCGATCCTGACGAGTCTAACTGTCCCTGCAGCTGAAAAACATCCCCACAGCATGATGCTGCCACCACCATGCTTCACCGTGGGGATGGTGCCAGGTTTCCTCCAGACGTGACACTTGGCATTCAGGCCAAAGAGTTCAATCTTGGTTTTATCAAACTAAATTATCTTGTTTCTCATGGTCATAAGTCCTTTAGGTGCCTTTTGGCAAACTTCAAGCGGGCTGTCATGTGCCTTTTACTGAGGAGTGGCTTCCGTCTGGCTACTCTACCATAAAGGCCTGATTGGTGGAGTGCTGCAGAGATGGTTGTCCTTCTGGAAGGTTCTCCCATCTCCACAGAGGAACTCTGGAGCTCTGTCAGAGTGACCATCGGGTTTCTTGGTCACCTCCCTGACCAATCCCCCGATTGCTCAGTTTGGCCGGGAAGAGGAAGAAAGAGTCTTGGTGGTTCTAAACTTCTTCCATTTAAGAATGATGGAGGCCACTGTGTCCTTGGGGACCTTCAATGCTACATAATTTTTTTGGTACCCTTCCCCAGATTTGTGCCTCGACACAGTCCTGTCTCGGAGCTCTACGGATAATTCCTTCGACCTTATGGCTTGGCTTTTGCTCTGACATGCACTGTCAACTCTGGGACCTTATATAGACAGGTGTGTGCCTTTCCAAATCATGTCCAATCAACTGAATTTACCACAGGTGGACTCCAATAAAGCTATAGAAATATCTCAAGGATGATCAATGGAAACAGGATGCACCTGAGCTCAATTTCGAGTCTCATAGCAAAGAGTCTGAACACTTATGTAAATAAGGTTTATATATTTTTTACTTTTATAAATTTGCTAACATTTCTAAAAACCTGTTTTCACTTTGTCATTATGGGGTATTGTGTGTAGATTGATGATATTTTTTATTTATTTAATCCATTTTAGAATAAGGCTTTAACGGAACAAAATGTGGAAAAAGTAAAGGGGTCTGAATACTTTCCGAATGCACAGTATTCCCATTAATATTTGTTTATGTAATTCATGCTTTACAATTGTTTATGCACTATTTGTCAAGCGTTGGTGCTTATGTTTGTGTACCTTGCAGGTTGATATGCATCTGATGGGTGTGCAAAAGGGGACTCCCAACGTTCTCTTGCGGGTACTTATAGGCTGAAAGGCCAGGCTTCTAGTGTTAAAGGGAGCAGATGTTTCATGACAAGATTGTGATGGAAGGGTTGATCACTTACATCTGTTTTCCACTGTAGATGAGTCTTTGTTGTTGAGGTGGAATCCCCTCTTTCTCCTCCACCCTTTCTTTAATTCTCTCCACCTTCATATGTGTACAAGCGAGCATATAAGCACACATCATTACAGGGTCATGACTCTCCAATGTATACTGACATGAGCAATCCATATATTACACATAGAAAGCAAATGCATTATATTCAATTCAACCTTCAGAGTAATGATGTTTCATACCTTGTCTGTGGGCTCAATGTCGATCTCTATTTCTTTGCCAGTGAGAGTCTGTAACAGAAAAACAACGTTAACTAGCTAGCTAACTAACGTTACGTAGCTAAATTAGTTGGCTAACGTTAGCGAACTTGCTAACGTGGCTGTTGTTACAACATTCTAGCTATACGGGGATGACAATTCAAAAAATCCAATGGCCTGCAATGTCCACTATATAACTAGCGCTTTTCAGATCAATACATTTACCAAAGATACGTATAACTAACATTTACGTCTAATATTACTATCCAGCTAGCTCGACGACGATGAGATGACCATACAGTCTGTACACTAGCAGACATGGCCACAGATTAAATGGCTGGTCTTACCTTAACCTTGATCAGCATTTTGACCTAAAATACGTTTCAAATCGATTTAAGATTAAATACCTAATCAAATTGTTGTCAAATTGAGCAAACCTTCTGATTCAATTTTACTTCCTGTGTAAGTAACTGTTCCGTCCGTTGTCCATCCATCGTATTTTGTGAGACATAGGTTCCGCTTTGCAGATAATTACTTTCTGGGAAATACTGTATGTGACTGTTACAAAGTTAACTTTAAAAATCATAAACAATCTAGTATGTGTTGAGGTCGAGAAATACCATGAACGGATTATGTTGTTGCTCATTTTTAGGTCCATAATTATCTCTCCTTGACCTCTCACAGACATTCAGCATTATCCATCCTCCAGCGATTTTAATAACATTTTCCTGTTGAAAAGCAATATCCCAAGCACACTACATGACCAAAAGTATGTGGACTACTGCTCGTCGATCATCTTATTCCAAAATCATGGGCAATAATAGGGAGTTGGTCCGGATGGTGAAGCGTGATTCATCACTCCAGAGAACGCGTTTCCACTGCTCCAGAGTC